AGTTCTTGCTTCATCCATCCTTGAAGGCTTTCATCTTTCTCAATTTGCGATACCATGTTATTATGAAATCTCATCTTTTCTTTTGATAGGAGCCCTGTCACTTCTGATATTTCGTCCTCGGTATAGACCTCTAACTTGCGCAGTTTCGGTGAGATTTTTTTTTGTGGAGCAAAACAATTACCAAAGGCACCCTTCTCGAACACAGGCTTATTACCACCGGGAAGGCAATCAGCGCTTGATACTACTTTTGACTGCGGAGTCTTGACAAATAACCGTGAAGCAGGGTGAGATGGGGCCGGATGAACAGCTTTAATATTCTCAACTGGCGCGTTGATTATTCTAATTGTAATTTCTGCGTTTCCATCAGACTTACTTAAAACACTGCAATCTTGCACAAGGGTTTTAGACTCTTGTTTAGATTTCAGTGGTGTCCCAAAGAGTAAAAAGTTAAAATTTTGTCTATCAGTGATATCGACACGTTCCCGAACTGACAATAAAGTATCACTACGGCGTACATTCTTGATTTCCGCAAATATTTTACCACAATTAGTTTTCAAAAACAAAGAGTGTTCCATTACTGGTTACAGTGGTTAGGCTATATTCTATATAATACTATAGTCTTGTTCAATATGTTGTCTGGTGCTCTGATAAAGTTCAACGGTAATTAACTGATTCCATATGTGTCGGAAACGGTTAGGGCGTGCTAATAGGCTTAACGCAAAATATTTTAATTCCTTACTGGCATGCACAAATATTTTTTTTAAATTTATTTTATTTATTATTATTATTTCCCCTATGTACATCTTTATCACTATTTACAGATTTTTTCTAATAATATTGGGCTAGAGACCTACTAGAAACCCTCACAGCTAGCTTTTTCATTTAGGCCCCTAGTTAAAGTTCATAGTTAACTATTAATTAGTATAATAACTATAATTACAGTAAAAACAGAAAGATTATTTCCTAGAGTATATTATTTACAAAAGAAGAAAAGAACGACAGAATAAAAATAATTAGACTACAAATATAAGTTGTATAAAGCATAGTGTCATACAATTTATTGCGATATAATGTGCAAGTAGAATGCATTCTGAATAAATAAACAATGTTCAAATAAAACCATGCCTATTGTTGCCTTATATACATACTGTATTTACCACATATGTTTCATTTAATATCAAAAAGCTACACGTAAACTATCGATTCACTGCAGTAATTCCGAACAACTGTTCAAGCGCATGCACATTTGTTGGGATACGGTTGCTTCATTTCAAACACTAATCCTTTTTAAATTAAATTATGTCATTTTACTTCGTATGGCCCTCGTTTTGAATTTTTTAATTATGGTATATATAGTACAAGATGACTATTTTTTACATGCACACGAATTATACAATAAAGCTCATTTAGGCCGGACATCAAATTTTTAAAAAATAATGAAGTTTATCTAGTGATTTATAACTAGTATATTATATAAGTCAATCAATTCAATTCAATACACGATTGGTACAGTTAATTAGTAATATTTTATTCTGTAACGCAAAATGTCGAGTCACTTTTGACACTCGAATTGTTGTTTATCATCACTGTTAAAAGTTCAATTAAATACATGCGTTTGCACACGATATTGGCATGGCACGCTAATTAGGGCTTACATAAAATAAAGTACTTTATATAATTTAAAGGAACAAGATTAGAGTAGTCTCGCAAGGGCATTCCATGAAATGAAGCCGTGAATATCTGACATGTAATTTGTCCTTGAGTAACGTAAATTCACATTCAAACACGCTGTATTTGAGATTAGGACACCAAAACAATTGTTATATATATATAAAGCACTTTAATTCGTACGTATAGGATTAGACACTCGACATATGTTATCCACGACCTCGACTTTCAAACCTCGAGAACTCGATACCGCCATCAAAAACAATTATCACCTACTTATAGATTAAGTTATCTCATTTCCTCAACGTTTAAATGACACTCCCTGTGTTACAACAAAGAATTTCAGCAATATTGGTATGTTTACAGCATTTCCTGTTTGCAAGTTTAAAAACTGGTTTAAGCGAGGTCTGCTTCTTATAATTATATTCTCTCCAAAGTCCAAACTACAGAAATTAGTTATCCTATAAGTTTTGCCATTGCCATAATTTATAATGCCCGCGTGCATAAAGATCGAAAACAACGGCTCGGTTGTAGCAGTTATACCTGCCTTTGAACTTACAAGAAACTTGGAAGAACTCAGAAATAAAATCGACGAAGACGAGTTGCTAGAAGGGAAGTTTACATTTACTGGTGTCACCTATCAAGAGGAAAAAGACACGGCAGTTGAAGACGTGGTACTCTTTGATGATGAGCATGGCGAAAGCAGTAACAAAAAAGTTGTCAAAATACAGGTAACGTCAGCTGAAGAGTGCGAAGTGAACGACATTTGTACTGGATACACTGCAAAAACGCCCAGTTCTTCCAATGATGAAGTTGAAAAATGGAAATCTGCTTTCAGGTATCAATCGCCGTGGGAAGTAAAGAGGATTAAAATCTACTCTGATGACGAAGTTAGAAAGGCAAGGGGAATGCGTTCGGAATATTTGAAATTCTGGAACAAACGAGTAAAGGAATTATGTCGACAAATCCCAAATGCATCGAGAAAGAAAATAACCTCACAAGTAGATGAAGAATGGAGGAAAGAACAAAACAACATTCTAAGTGCAGAAGCAAGCATTTTGGAAAAAATCGGTGGAAAGTCGCCTGAAGGACTGAAGCCAGGCACTTTGCACACCAACATGAAAGCAATTGATGACGCACGAAGTGATCTAGAAGCAACCGAAGCAATGCTGGCAAACAAAGACATTTCAGCAGTTGAGAAACAACGATTAATTGCCAATCAAAAACGTGCAAGATCACATTTGAAGCGTGCCCAGGAATCCATGAGAAAAAACTTGAACGCAAAGAAACAAAAAACAGACTGACTATAGTATACACTGAGTAGTATATAGTATATAGTATACACTGAGTAGTTCTTTATTATTTATAGGCTTTATATAGGTTTTCTAATTCAAATTAGCATATGACATTGACATAATTTAATATCATTGATCAATTATTGTAAAAATTAGTATCAAGTTATAAATATAGACAACGCATACCTGAATGTTGAATAAAAAATGATTTTCGAAATATATTACTGTCAATAGAATATTGGAGCAAATATATATTGCTTGGTTTTTGAAAACTAGTTGAGACTTGATGTACTATTTAAAATATGAGCAGCAGTGTTTTATCAGTTATAAAGATACGAGGCGAAGCCGAGTATCTTTAGGTCTGATAAAACACGCACTGCGAATGTTTTAAATAGTACTTCAAAAACGATCGATCTAGTAAATTCATTGGCGAAGTAATTTTCAAAAAATACGTTGTGTAAGTCGAGAAAATCAAACTTAAAGTTTGTATAAATCAAGGGAAATCTCTATCACATAATAAATTAAGATACGACACGCTTATGATTAGTTTTCTTTGTATTTTCCTCATGAATTATTAATGAGTTTTTGAAATACAGTTGAGTACTTAAAAGTTGGCGATCGCTTGCTAAGACAATTACTGAATTAGAAATATTATACAGGCTCTTTATATACTAGTTAGACACATATTAAAATTCAAGTAAATTTAAATAGGCAATTTTAATTAATTGCACACGGGCAAGATAACCATGCTCGAAATATCTGTTCAATATGTGTCAACGCCGGAACTGATGGCTGTTGATTAGCGCGCTTGAAACAATTCGCAGTACAATGCCAAAAGGCAACACACTCATTGCAACTGCGCCAAATTCATGAAAGTACTGAGATTTTAATGCGACCTGGTTAAGCCTAGATCTACTGCATATATACACACTCTGATCACAGTCGTGCATTTTCTATTCCTCGAGAATTATACAAAAACTGTTTTGTGCAAATGTATTTTCGTGGTGAAACATTCACTTAGTCATCGTATGGACCGGTGTCCCAGGGGGGGGGATGCGAAATTCCTAAGAAACTCTCCCCCCTTTAGGAAATTCGCCCCCCTTTAGAAACTTCGCCTTTTCCTTAGGATTTTCGTCCTCCGTTCAAAATTTCGCACTTCCTAACAGTTGCACTGATAATTATTACATGGCTTTAGTCATTTGAGATCAGTATCAAATAAAATTTAACATCGTTAATTAAGCCATCTGTGGATAATAAGCAGAGTGAAGTGGTGCCAAGATTACATGTGAATTGGCGCAAATTAACATACAGCTATATTCATTATCTCGCATAATTTATATAGCCAAAGGCAAAACTATTTATTAAAGAATTTTAACTCCGAATTATTCCAGTGAAATATAAGAATTTAAAGGTGATGTAAAGTCCGTAATGTAAACAAACGCTTTGTTTACATTTTGAACTCAGTGCTACAGTCAGTAAAATACGATTAGATATATATTATACTGAATTTTTAACACTTTTCTGGTTCGTTATGCTTGTAAATGAATACAGACTAGAGGTTCAATTCAAGAAAGTTCGGAAGGGGCGAAATATTAACAACATTCCAAAGGTTGCTCCCCCACTGATGGAATGTTTTGATGCGCAGAATATATGCGCAGAACGGACTTTACCGCATTTTAACGACCCCAAAGAATTATTCCAGGCTAGCCCCAAAGAATCCTGGGTGAAATCTTTAGAATTTCAGTGAAAACAAAGTAGGCTACCCCGAATAAATCTTTGACTAACCCCCGAAGAATTCCTGTGAAATGTTCGACAAACCCCGAAGAATTCCGGTGAAATCTTCGACAAACCCCGAAGAATTCCGCGTGAAATCTTCGAATAACCCCGAAGAATTCCGCGTGAAATATTCGAATAACCCCGAAGAATTCCGGGTGAAATGTTCGACTACCCCGAAGAATTCCGGTGAAATGTTCGACAAACCCCGAAGAATTCCGGTGAAATCTTCGACAAACCCCGAAGAATTCCGCGTGAAATATTCGACTAACCCCGAAGAATTCCGAGGTCCTCAACAGGGGGGGTGCGCATATTAAGTGCAATAGCCCAATACAGTATTGTACATTTTCATGTCGGTACAATATATTTTGCCTCTATAAATTTAGTTTCAGCGTGGTATATTTTTCTGAACTCAAGAACTATTCTTTAAAAGGTATTGTATATTTACATAACAAAACTTTTATCTTTGACGAGTGAATTTCATAGCATTTTTATCTGGTAGCACCTACTTGAGTTTAATTAGCCTTTCTCACAAAAAGTGCAAGGATTCTGCTTTTGTAATGCTGCTTTTGTAATGCTGCTTTTGTATTTCCCATCACTATCCATCCCCTAACGTTTGCCAAGTGTCTGCATCACTGCATGCAATTTAATAGTGTCTGCAATTGCCAAACTTCTTACTAGAGCTGGGCCAGCTGGCCCCAATATTTCTTTCTTTTCTCCTGCTTGTGGCCACTATGTCTATGCCCTCATATTAAATATACGAAAATTCAAGGCCAGAAGCAGCCCTCGGCCAATGTACAATCTACAACTAAATTAATAATAGCAAAAGATACTTGGCGACTGTATCAGCTCAGAAACTAAAAGTGAACAGCAGGGACCACAGAGCCCTTTATAGCATTTGTAGCTTGCGAACAGGCTCTCAAGCTAAATTGAGAGCCTGCATCGATGACTAATGATTTTGAATATCTGCGTCTCAAATCGTGACACGAAATTCTCATTGGTCAGTTGTTATAATTTATATGTTTCCGCTGAGCTCTATATATGTCAACTGCTGAAGCACTATGCATAAAAGACACATTAACTGATCAAATTGGTCTTGCTATCTTATCTCAAAGCACGAAATGTTCTGTTTTGAGAAAACAGTATTTAAAACATTTGAACTTTTGCTTGAATATCTTATATTCGAAAAACAGTATAAACTGTACGGTCTAAATTTAGTTTGCACCATATAAGGATAGACATTCCATATTCTGAAAAACGAACGTTACTGGGCAGATATTCAAATTCATTAGTCATCGATGCAGGCTCTCAGTTCAGCTTGAGAGACTGTCCGCAGGCTATAGCATTTGGGATCTATCGAACGACTGATGCCAAAGGCATGAGCTCACTGCTCAAGTTCATGTACATGTATATATCTGGTGTGCAGGTTGTGATATTAAAGGTGAACTTGGAGGATGTTTGTTGCACTTCACTTGGTTGAACTAGAAATATATATTGCATAATTTAAGACCACAACCCGCACACCTGATAGTCTATATGTACATGAACTTGCGGTTATAGCTTGTGTAGCTCAGTTGATTAGAGCACCGCATCGGAATCGCAGGGCCGAACTTCAATTCCTGCCAGAGGACCTAGTGTTGCATTTTTGACAACCATTCCTGGTTAGCCACAATAGGTCGTAAATTGTGTATATATATATATATATATATATATATATATATATATATATATATATATATATATATATATATATATATATATATATATATATATATATGTATATGTATATGTATATATATATGTATATATGTATATATGTATATATGTATATATGTATGTATGTATGTATGTATGTATGTATGTATGTATGTATGTATGTATGTATGTATGTATATATATATATATATATATATATATATATATATATATATATATATATATATATATATATATATATATATATATATATATATATATATATGCTCACTCAGATTATCCACCAAACCCAACATTCTAGTTCAACCTTGGAAGTATGTGAAGTGCAACAAACATCCTTTCAGTTCGATCACCCTTGGAAACTGCTTTGTACTATGGAGGGAATTTAACATTTGTTTGATGTAAATGAAATTTTTGGGGCAATTGGTCTGTTAAAAGCCCTGTATGTATAGACAGGCCCTGGGTCTCACCACCCTCTCAGGCTCTCATCATTTGACCTTTCTGGTGGCTATATTTACCCAGGACAATCCCAGAGATGAACATTCATACCCTGCTCTGGGTGCGATAATTCAAATTTTTAGTCGTACCTGTCTCGTACGCCAATGGTTGTTGCCGCGTACTTGAGCAGTAAAAACTCAGTAGTCAATATGTATACTTAGTCTTTAAAATAAGGTTCATAAAGTACACTGTCTGTCAGGTTTCTGAAACGTACGTTCAGATTACGAGGTAGAAAAAGAACCACAATTGCATATACAAACAATCGACTCCAACGTTTCTTAGTGCCATCATTCAAATCATGTTTCACGCCAAGACATCTCAGACACATGATATACAAACTAAATTACGGTATTGAATACCTTGGACTTGGAAAGGTCATGTGATACCAGCAAAAAGTAAGTACGCAGATAGCAAGAGTTCCGCGTACCTACAATCATGGCCAAAAGTTCGTAGAACAACAAAACAAATTCGCAACTTTTTAATATACTTGGGTTTTAAAATCATATTGCACCTCCTCCCCCCCCCCCCCCCCCCCCCCCCCCCCCCCCCTT